AAGAAAAGAATAAGCAACCTAAGGCAGTAGCATAGCTACTTTTAAAATGTGAACTGAACTTTAGCCAACCTTTTCTGTAACAGGATCTTTATCTTTTTTAAATTCCTATCTACTTAAGTTACAAGTATCATTCTTGAATTTGAGGTGTGCAAAGAGAACACTTGAGAATGAAAAATAACACATAAGAAAGTACAGGCAAGTTTGAAGTATAAGATAAGCAGGCTCAAGCAAGAAATCCATAAGAAAACCATAATCTCTCCAGACTGACTCTCTCTGATGAATAAATAGACATTTATTTGCATAAGCCACCAGGGAAGAGGGGAAGCTGGCTTTTAATAACAAAGTTAAAAATATTTCAGTAGAGCTCACCCAGTTTGTTCCTCAGATGTGGCAAATCATATATCCCCACAGTTCCCAGATGCATGAACAATTGACTGATTAAATCAGTAACATCCTACAAAGAGTTTACAGTGGCAAACTGAGTCATGTTGAAATTAAAGCATCATCAAGAAAGTTAACATAAAATAGGCATGCATTAAGTGCTAAATTTCTGACACTTTCCCTCAATTGAAACATTCTTCATAGTAAACCCAAAGTGTTAAAAAATAAATAAAATCCTGAGCTGGATATACTGAATCTATATTTTTAAAAGTATACCTACCTCAAAAATAACTCTTCTGAGATCTTTGTATCTTAAAAATGAACCCAGAGAGCAGTCTGAAAAATATGGTCCACAATTCCCTAGTCCTTTATTGTGGAAACATGATTGACAAGATCACCAGCGCACAAAGTGGGCACTTAAATCTTCTGATAAAATCATTCAACATTCTTGTTTTGAAAGCCATTTGCTCTGGAAACAACTATGGCAGTGTTTTGGTTTTTGTTTTAGCTTATGATTCTATTAAGATTGGAAGGTCCCCAACAAGAGCTCAATTAGAAATCAGTAAAATTAGTTTGACTATTACCAAATAACAATTTTAGTCATTATGAATCTCATTTCCCTCCTGTGAATTTTCTTTGAATTTAGAGTAGCTTAATCTTCAAAATAAAATCTGAGTTCCTTCTCCACAGCTCTGTTTTCCAGTTTCTTTTCCTGCCTCAGAGAAAGTGCAATGAGAAAAAGTAAAAGTTTAGAAAGCCTATTCAACTTGAGGGCATTCTTCGATGCTGACACTCAGTTTGTTTCCCATGACTTTCTTCCTCTGGGCAATTTGGTAGAGAGTTTGGATGTTGTACACAGCAACTTTATATATGCTGGTCAAAAAAAATATATACATAAAGTATATAGAAGCTTAAAACAAAGGAAAAAGTCATTTATCCACCTATCACATAAAGTCAGGCAAAATTAGGCATTTTTATATTCTGCTTGTTTTGTTGTTGTTGTTGTTGTTGTTGCACTGTGATATTATATTGGAGCTTGGCTATATGTAATATACAGATATTTTAAATAGATTCAAATCTACCAGAGAACAACAAGTACAACCAAATGGCTAATGCTATTAAAATCTGATAGTCTTAAAAACTGACCTGCAGAGTAGTGTCATCTGTTTAGGCAAGCAGTGTTTTAAAAGAATGCCTCTAAGAATTTTCCATTTTGACAGACTCAATTAATCCCTATTGTTTGTTTCAGTGCTTAGGAAAATGCCTAAATAGATCCGAAATTCAGAATTTGTAACCCCCATAAAATGTTCAGATAATGGAATGCCTGGAAATAAAAAGATGGTTTAAAAATATATACCTAGTATTTCCTGTCCATCTTGAACTGTGCAAAACTATTCAACATCAAGATTTATTTCCTTCTAAGCTTGCATCTAGCTTGAAGTCATGTGCAAAGAAAACAAGATAGATCATCCCAACTCAATCAAATTTTCAAGCAATTAAAACCAAGTAAGAAAGATTTAGGAATCTCATACCATGAAAAATGCTCATATTTCAGATGAGATTTGAATACAGAAAACTTGAATAAAGCAAGTTCCTAGAAATAAGGGTGGCATCTAATCACTTCCCCGCTAGAATGCAGAGAATGGGGAAGACAGTGTGTCTACTACTATGCTTCAGGATACCTAAGGGAGCAGATGATGCAGCAGGAGCCTAACAGAATGACCTGCATGTGTCACTTACTCCTCAAAATCTGCCAGGAATGACACTTAGAAGCAATCGGAAGAAAGCACACCTAAAGAAGGCAAAGGGACATGGTCTGGTAGGAGCACAGAGATCTGGAAATCCACTTGATTTGTAGAATAATAATGTATACAGTAACATGGCAGGTGTATATGGTAAAAATTTGTCAGATATATCCAATGTCTTGGGTTGAAAAGATGCTATAGTTTACATAAGACACTTAAAATCGAATAGCAAATACACTTTAACTTTTGATGATTCCTCATTTTAAAAAATCAGTTTTAGTTGGGAGTATAGCTCAGTAGTAGTATATTTGCCTGGCATGTACACATCTCTGGGTTCAAGCCCTAGTAACACAAAAAATAAATTAATTTCAAGAGATATTTTATAAGTCTGTAGGAAAAATCCAACTTACATATTAAATAGGCTTGTTTTTCTTGAATTACACATCCCTCCCACTCTGGTTTGCCAGCACATTGTAGGAAATACCCTGAGGCTTGGTAAAATCCAGTAAGGTTTACGTTAACAAATCTCACCAAAAATGCCTGATTTTCCTATTATCTCAAGTAACTTGATCCTGTAATTTCTTAAATTTTTTAACTGTTTCCCATCATACTTGCAGTTGTATTTACTAAAATAACATGGGGTTGTATTACTTTGCAAAAATATGTTTACCTAGAGCTACTTGATAGGTTAAGATAGGTTTTAAAAACAACAATCTTATGTATAGTCTACTCTGCTAATTGAAATTATGATTGTTGTCACAAGGCCCAACAACTGACTGGTTAGAGTAGTTGATTTTTCTGCAGGAAAATAAAACATAGCCCTGATAATGATTCTGTCAAATGGGCACTTTAAACTCTATACAGCAAAATCAGCTGGATAGGGGAGCTGGAGAGAATAGGCTTTTGTTCAACACCATCCTAAAGCATATGTTCTGGCAAGGTTCCACTGTAGCTGTCTAATCATCGACTAATTATCTGCCCATACATTGACTCTTTCCCACTTATGGTTGAGAATACTTTAACTGTATTTAGCTTTAAAAATTGGTTCTCTTTTGACCTAATGAAGCTCTGGCAAAATACCACATCTGCTTACACTGATTCAAAAAGTGTTCCAATTCCTTATTCAGCCATCAGGTAGCCAGTCCCTCTGTTTCTGATGCAAAAATATTGAGGGAAATTGCCCTTGTCTATTTCTGATTATTAGGTTTTTGGTAATTAAATAGTGATTTTAGAAATTTCCCCACCAGCTTCTCCAATTCTACAGGACTGAAGAATGAGAAGTTTTCTAAGCCAAATGGGTAAACTCTTTATTTATCTATATCCTACTTCCCACCTCACACTGAATAATTTACTCAACTTAGTTTTTAATCAGGTCCCACTTTATCCATTTTGTAATTAATTAATTAATTTATTTATTTTTGTGCACCAATTCTGTAGATACTTTGATCTGGAGGCAAAGAACCTTTGAAGGAATGTGACAAAGTAAGAGGTCTACAAAGCCCTAGGCTCATCAATATGCAGACCAAGAAATAAATTCATATTGAGTACATGTACCATAATATGGCAGCATTTTAAAAATTCACATAGTTATGGGTTTAAAAAAATACATAGTACTTAGGGATGATATTAAAAATTGTTAGCAACTGGTCAAGCATGGGCTTCAATTAATTCAACAGACTGCTGGCCAACAATAGCTGACAGGCACAGCCCAATTCCTACCACTAAGTATCAGATCAGACAATCCAGTTGGGAAGAAACAACTTTTTCTTCACTATCTCCTTTCCATTTTATTTATTTTTCATACTTAAGGGGGATCCTCATTTAACAATTTTTGGAAGTTATTTTTCCAAGAAACAAGAATGGTTTAGATAGAACACTATATATTAGTAGTAAGTCACAACTCCTAGGACAAATCAGAACAAATTTAAAGGTTAGACCTCTGCTACTGTTTCGACTTTTGTCATTTGTAACAAACTCATTCCCCACTTTCCCACAGGTTCCTATAAAGGGTCAACATCTGCCAAATGCTCCAAAGGCTGTATACTTATCCCAAGAAAAATCTGTATTTAGACTCCATGTATAATGAGAAACAGCTAGTTTCAGCTAGCTTCAATTTACTTGAACCATTTAATACTCAGCTTACAGGAAAAGTTCCAACTTTTTCAGAACAACATATGGGATGGACCATAAATCTGTACTAAATTATTTTAACCCAAAGTGTGCCTGCAACTGGAAACAGTATGTTTGAATGAGCAATAACTGTTCTTCTCTAGTGAGAGAAGAGAAAAAAAACAACCTGGACTGGGCTGGTCTACCTTTTACTTTCATCAGCCTAATGAGCAGAGTAACTCCTATGCTGTTTCTTTGTCTTAGTTTAAAAAAAAAAAAAATCATATTAAATGTAGTATGTACTACATTATATTAATTCGATATGTCACTTAGGTCAATTTCTCAGAGTCAATAAGCAATGTTCGATATGTCATTTAGGTCAATTTCTCAGAGTCAATAAGCAATGATAAGAAAAACAGCCTAAACACCAAGAAGATGAAATTTATAATAGCCTTATGTTTCCTACCAATTCAGTATAAAGCCAAGTGACAAGGCAACACTTAGAAATAAAGGTTTAGCAATAAACAAAGAAAGCTGAGAATCATGTCCTACTGACCAAAATGCAAATGTAAATACTTTATACATATTCAATATAGATCAAGTATTGTTTAAACCTACTGAAGCCACAAGTTTAAAGTTGCAAAATTATGCTAACTTCTCTTGAAAAATGTGTTATCCATACTGGTTTTCCTGTTAACCTAAAACTAAAATTCCAGGGTATCCTAATCACAAGAGGTTTTATATCTCAAAGCAATAGAAACTAACCTTAAAGAAAGCAAACCACTTGTAGTCATTCAGCACAATCTCAAAGCCTTGGTTGTAAATGATGGTAAAATGTCCAGAATTGCCAAAGTCATCATATGCTGTATCCAATTTCTTAAGGTGCACCACTACTTTTTTTTCTGGTGGTTCTAGAGAAAAGAAAATGTACAACAAAGGAAAGTTATTTGAACTTCACAGGGTTAAAAATATCTCTATTATTTAATTAAGCTGCTTTCCTTTTATGAACAAGCATACCTAAATCCAATCCCCCATCCAAAAATCAAGGCAAAGAAAAATATAATAAAAGGTACAAGAAGATAAAAAGACCAACCATCAAATCATGAAAAAGGATAATGTGTTAAGCCCACGAAAAGACAGAAAATGATCTATTCAAAGAAGAAATGGGGTATCTTTTTTTTCTCAATGGCTTTAGAAATGAGAACCTCAGAACCTGAATCCTTCCAAAGTAGGAGTGTCTTTAATTACTGGATTAAGGTCTAAGGTAGGTTTACTGAGAGGCTGCCTGAAAAGAGTTCAGTTGTGTCCATCTGGACATTCCCACACTTCAGGGAGTCTTCAGATTAATAACTCTGAGTGGGAGATTGCATGTGACAGGGAAGTGTAAATCTTGATCTCCCTTCTGCCATCATCCCCATGCTCAATTTATAAAAAGAAACAATGGTACACAGTGTCCAAGATTAGGAAAAGCCATATAGTCATCTGTAGTTAAACATTTCTTTTTTTTTTTTTAAAGAGAGAGAGAGAGAGAGAGAGATTTAGGAATCTCATACCATGAAAAATGCTCATATTTCAGATGAGATTTGAATACAGAAAACTTGAATAAAGCAAGTTCCTAGAAATAAGGGTGGCATCTGTAGTTAAACATTTCTTTTTTTTTTTTTTTAGAGAGAGAGAGAGAGAGAGAGAGAGAGAGAGAGAGAGAGAATTTTTTAATATTTATTTTTCAGTTTTCGGTGGACTCAACATCTTTATTTTTATGTGGTGCTGAGGATGGAACCCAGCGCCCAGCACATGCCAGGCGAGCACATTACCGCTTGAGCCACATCCCCAGCCCTAAATATTTCTTTTTAAAGAAATATTACTTGACAGTATCAGATTACTTGACAGACTTACTTCTGCTAATGGGGAAATTACAGCTGAGAGCTCACTGCAAGTCACAGGGAGCAAGACTTTCAGCAGACCAGCAGTCTGTTGTCTGGGGGGTTTTGTTTTTCCTCTCTTCTCTACTGGCTTCTTTTTTAAGGTTAGCCAAGTAACTGAAGCATATGTAATACCCCAGTGTATGCACACACTGGATATTTATTGTTCCAACTGCCAGGCACTGTACTTGGCTCAGGGCATTTCCAAATAATTATCAGGGAAAGCATTAAAGAAGAAATGAGCTTCTCTATACCTCCTTGAAGTACATGAAACAAAGAATGGTGCTAGAAATACTGAAGGACAAGAAGCATTACCACATGCCGAATCGAAATGGCTGGACATAAGAGTCCTTTCCTATAACCTCACAGAAAAAAAAAAATCTTTTCATATCCTCAAGAGTCCTTGAGCTCATATTTTTTTTTTCACCAATAGGATTTTGAAAAATCTGGCAGATTAGAAGGGGGAAACAAAAGACTGCAGTTGTGAACTCTATTCTATACCAAAGCAACCAAATAAATACAAATATTAAGAGGAAGAAAAAGTTCTGGAGGGGGAGGGGGAGAGTTGAGGTCCCGAGGAGCGTGCAGTTAGAAGTTCTCAGCAGTTCAAATTTAACTTCGCAGCGGTGGCCAAGAGAGTTACCCCAAAGGACCCGGAGTCCAGCCAGGATGTTCCTTTGGGCGCAGAAAGGGGCGACTGCGAGGAGTCCCGGGTCGGCGCGGGAAAGCGAGCGTCTGAGGGCGCCGGCGGCTTACCCATAACCGAGCAGTTGATGTCCCGCTGGGAACCGACTGGGCCCACCTGGAAGACCCAGGTGCCCAGCAGATCAGGGTAGGTGCAGTTAGCAGGTGTGTCGCAGCGCACGGTCCAGACACCGCAGAGGAGCAGCAGGAGGCCGGCGAGCAACGAGCGGGGCCAGGGACCCATGCTGGAGGGGCCCGGACAAGAGGCAAAGAAGAGAAGAACCCGAGCGTGGCGGACTCGGAATCAGGCGACCCGGGTGGCTCGCGCTTTAAAATAGCCAGG